CAGGGCCGGGCGGACGGGCGCTGGCAGCGGGGGCAGCGCCGCGGGCCGCTCCGAGTGGCCGCAGTCTGGGCCTTGGTGCTCCCATCCTGCTCCGCCGCGGTGAGTGCGACGGGCGGCCCCCAGGGTGCATTTGTGTCCCTGTCTGCCCGGCTGCGGGTCCAAGTCCGAACGGCGGTGTGTCTGTCCGAGTGTCTGTGGGTGGGGGCACAGATGCTTTTCAAAAGCTGTGTCTGTCTCTGTCCACGTGAGGCGTGTCCGTGTCCCTGAGAGCAGTGGGGGGATTCTTCGGGCTGTGGCTGCTCACGTGAGGTCCATGTTTGAGGGGGGAGGCGCGGGTGGATGGGTGATGGTTCCTTGGAGGAGCGCGGGGTTTGGGAGCTTGTGTATGTAGGCGGAGGGTGTCGAACGCTGAGGCCGAGGGTGGTGGTGCTGTGGCGGGTGGGGTTGCTGAATGGGACTCCGGAATCTTGTGGCCCAGCTTGTCTGAAGGGTTCCTTTCTCCCTGATGCAGACACTTCCACCCCTGGCTCCCCCCTCCATCCTCTTCAGGCACCCAGAAACCCACCAGCCAGGGTGGAGGACACTCTTTTCCTCCTCCAGCCCTGCTCCCTTGACAGGGAGCCTCATCCGGAGGCTGCTTGTTGTAGGAAAGGACCCCTCTGATTCCCCTTCAGCCTGGGCCCCGTGTGGAAGACCCCAGGCCCCTCCCTGGTTCTAGCCTCCTCCCTTCTGGACTTGGCTTCAGATCCTGGGCTGCAAACCTGCAGGGACAGATGGTTGCAGGTTGGAGGGGCAGGCTGCACCCCAGGGAGGTCGGTCTGACTGAAGGCAGGTCCTGGGCTTTTTCCTGGTGTGGGGGTCTCTGATGTGGACAGCATAAACCCAGGACTAGCCCCAGTAGGAAGATGAGATCTGGGAGGTTGGAGTGGGTGCAGAGGTCTTTTTCACAGGTCTTTCCCTGTTTGTCTGTCCAGCTCACCAATGCCCATTCATCCCCTAAGTAGGGCTCTGATTCGCTGCAAAATTGGAATCAGAGCTGCAGGCCTGACAGGTGCCCTGCCTCTCTTGGTTTGCATGCCTCCAGTGACAGAGCACTTACTACCTTATGCTTTGGAAGAGCTTTTTTATGTTAAGTAGAGGTCTTTTTCCTTGGAACTTTGTTTACTTGTCTTGTTATTGCCTGTGCTTTTGCCTCTCTGTCTGGTGAGAGGGAACTGCAGTGATTTAAACATGGCCCTCCTGTCACCAGCATATACTGAGCACCCTCTGTGTGCCAGGTGCTGCCTCAGCCACTTAGGGGACAATGGCATTCTTGCTGAGAGAAAAGCTTGAGCAAAGGCCCATAGTTGTGATAGTACAGCCCGTGTTCAGAAAAACAGAGCAAAACCATATGGTTAGAGTAGAGGGTGCCCAGAGGGAGTGTCATGGGTGCCCTAAACTTAGCAAACATTTATTTTGGAGGGGAGGTGGGGGCAACTGCAAATACCCTCTAACACACCTAGCCTTACTGTGGAAACCAGCAATCAAATCCTCAAGGTGGGATTTAATCATGGCACATAATACAGTCTGTAGGGACCTTTGGCTGGAAAGAGAACTTTGGGAATCACAGATTTGGGGAACAAAAAGACCCCCCTCCAATCCCAATTTACAAGTAAGAGGATGGAGTAGAAACTTGCCCAGAGTCTTACTTGCATTAGTGAGATTAGTGATAGAGTCAAGACTAGCTCCTTTTAACTTGGTTACATTTTAGAGGCAGAATCAAGGATATAGTCATAGCTAGTATCTGAAAGGTAAAAGAACAGGAAGAATTGAGAACATTCCCAGGGTTCTGGCTCGTGTGGCCAGGTGGATGGTGGTACCTTTTATTGAGATGAGAAACACCAGCAGGAAGAGTAGGTTAAGGGAAAATGAATTCAGTTTTAGGCTAATCTCTATGCATCATCCATGTAGAGATGTCCAAGATATGGTTGGGTATATGGGCCTGGTGTTCCAGAAAGTTTTCTGCACAGGAGATAAGGCTTTGGGAGTCGAGTGGATGGTAACTGAAACCATGGGAGATGATGAGATTTCCCAGGCAGAGTATGAAAGCCTGCAGAGTATAAAGCCCTGGGGAGTTAGACATTTAAGGAATGGGCAGGGAAGGCACAGCCAGAGAGGCAGGTGGAGAATCCATATCAAGCGGATCATGAAAACATCTAGTACAACCTCTGCCCTTTTGAGTCTTGCTCTCTTGCCCCAACTGGTCCATGTTTCTTAATTTTTCATGCTTCTTTTCCTTTACGCACTGTTTTCCCAGTGTACCTATCAAGCTCCTGCAAGACTCAGCTCATATATCCCTTCCTCTGGAAGCCTTCTTTATTCTCCTCCACCACCTTCAGAGTTAGAGACTTCCTCCTTGTTTCGGGCACAACAGTTTGAATATGTCAGTATCATGACACTTAGCACATTATAGTTATGTATTTCCATGTCTCTTTCCCACACTAGTCTGAGAACTTGTGAGGGTCAGGGAGTGCATCAGTTTCAGCTTTGTGTCTCCAGTTCCCAGGTTAAGAACCTGGTCCAGAGTATGCCTGGGGCAGTCAGATTGTTTGCTAGGTTGATCAGCTGATTGGATGCTTCATCCACCTGCTCAGTCTGGCAGTGGTGGGGGAGATGGCCCTGTGAATTTCATCACTTTCCTTCCCTGTCAATCTTACTGAAAGGATTCCTGGGCTTTCAGGACTTTACCTCCTCCAGGGATTTTTCTGTTCCAGAGAAACCCCCCAAAACTGTAACCTGCAGTCATTGTCATTTTGCTGAGGTCTCAAATGATCAAATGCACTTGGGGGTTAGTGTACAGGAGTGAGTCATTTTAAGAAGCAAGTGAGCTGGCCTCTTGCATCATTTTTTAACAATGCCTTGGTCACCTACCTCTAGCCACAGCTGTGTAAATCATGTGTCCTGGGACTCTCGTGAGGTTGTAGAAGGAAGTCGTGGGGGAAATTGGAAGCTGTTTGAGAATTTGGAGAAACTGAAAAGCCTTGAAATATATCCTTTGTAGATGCCAAGGATCTAGTGGAGTCAGCACTGGCTTTCTTCATTTGCTCACAATCAACTTCCTTCTCAGCCCTCTGGATCTGGCTTCCTCTCTTCCAGCCTCTGGAAACCATACTCCCTAAAGCTAATGACAGCTTCTTTTCGGCTTTAGATCCTAGGGCCTCCCTGCCGCATTTCACAATGAAGGTTGTTCCCTTATTCATGAAGCTTCTTCTCCCTTGGTCTTCACGATGTCTCACCTTCCTGGTTTCTCCTGCCTCTCGCCACACCTTTTCAATTTCTTTACAAGCAAGCTTTGTTTCCTGGCCTATCCCTTAAATGTTGAGGTTCCTCGGGGCACAGTCACAGGCTCTCCTTTCTCTCCTTACACTCTGTCTGAGTGATGTCAGCCAATTCCATGGCTTCAGGCACCATCTCTACACCAATGACTCCCAAATCACTGCCTCCAGGCCGACCACTTTCCGAGGCTCCGGCCTGTCTTTTCCACTGCCAGCCAGACCTCTCCATTCACATGTCCCATAGCCACCTCAGATTTGTCTTAGGAAAACACTGAACTTTTCATCGTTTCATCCAGCTGCTCCTCTTCCAGAGTTTCCAAGCCAGAAAACTAGGGATCATCTCCAATTCTTTCTTCTCTGTCTACTCTTGACATTCCACCAGCCAGTCATCAAGTTCTGTTGATTCTTCCCTATGAAATCTACTTCTCTCTACCTCCCCTTTGCTACTCCCCTAGTCAAGGGCCACCATCACCCCTCCTGTGGAATACCATGCAGTCTCACCTTCCCCCTGGTGACCCTTCTAAACTGTTTTTCACACAGCTGTCAAAAAGTGACTCTTGGGGCTCTATTAGATTATACTTAAACCCTTTCTACCCACCTGCCTCCACTCCCCTACCCTCCCACCCCCCATCCCAAGGTTTCCCATGCTCTTTGGATAAAGCCTTAATCCCCAAGCAGAGAAGAGTAAAGCCTAAACTCCTTAATGAGGCCAACAAAGCATTGTGTGATCTAGCTCCTGCCCATCACTCCATTTCATTTCTTAGCCCTCCTCTGTCACAGTGTGTGATTCAGCCTCCTGGTGCAGAAGGTACCATGCTCTGTAACTCTCAGTGTGAATGGCACTTTCTTCAGGAGAACTCTCTTGACCCCCAATCTTCAGTAACCCCTTCCCCTGCCCCAGCTCTAGGTTAGATGACCTCTGTGCTCTGTAGCAGCTCGTGCTTCCCCACAGAGCCTTCCGTGTTGCATTGCAGTAATCTATTTATTAGACTGTGGAACCATGAGGACCGCACTATGACTGTTTATCTTTGTATTCCCAGTCCGAGCAGAGGTGTAAGTGAATGCTGCATGAGGAAATGAGTTGCTTTTAGAACTGAGCCATAAAAGATGGGTGGGATAAGGGATGTGGGGATGGCAGTGGGCATCCTGAGGAAGGAGGTGAACTCTCAGCTCTGAGTTCAAGATCCTCCAAATTTCTGCTGTGAAAATCAGTCCACCTAAACCATCACCTATAGGACCTTGGAGGCAGATCGCTAGGACACGGTGGGATGGGAGAGGTGGGAGTAGGAGCCCAAGAGGAGAAGGGAATCTTAGTGATTCAGGCTGGGGGATGGCCCCAGCGGTTGCATGCCCAGCAAGTCTGGGTGGGGAACTGAAGCAGGAAGGGGAAGGGAGGGAGGAGCTGTCCGTCCTTGGACGTAGCCCAGTCCCCGCCCCTGTGTGACATGCTGGGAGAGCCCCTTGGGCTTGGAGAGGCGGAGCCTGATATCCAGCGGCCCCAGCAGGGCCCAGTATAGACCACTCCTACTCTTCCTTCCAAGCCCTCCCCTTCACCAGACAGAAGCTTCAGCTTGGCTCCCGCCTCCTGTTCCTTCCACCAACCCTCAGTCTGTCCTCCTCCTGCTATGGTGTCCTGGTGTTAGGTTTCTCTGGAGAGAGAATCTCAGAATCCCAGTGCCCGAATCAGGAGAGGATGCTCTCAGGGATGCCCTTCCTATCCTATTCCTACTCATGCCCACTCTTACACAAACATAAGACACATGCAGTTCAGCCCAAACCTGGAGAGGGTTCTGGACTGGCCCCCATGGAGTGCGTGCGTGCATGCCTTCGTTCATTCATTCATTCATTCATTCATTCTCTTTACAGAACCTGTGACACATCTAGCTGGGCACAGATAGTGGTTACCTGATTCTAGCCACTGCCTGTTTTGAAGTAGTCCAGCTGTCTTTCTGCCTCCCTTCATGGCCTCATTTCTCTCACGAACTGTCTACAGCTACTATTGTGAATGTCTTCACGTCCGTTTATCACTCAGCCACTCTCGCCCCGCTGCTGCCCTGGCTGTGCCCCCACCGCCAAACCTGGTGGGCATTCCAGTCTTCATCTGCCTTCATCAGCCCTTCCTTCTTGAATCACTCTCTTCCTTAGGTCTGTTTGGTTCCACGGTCTCTTGGTTTTCTTCCACCCCTTTGGGTTCTCCTTCACTCTGCACTCTCTGTCCCTAGGGGGACTCATCCAGTCTCAGTGCTTTAAGTGCCATTAATAGACCAGTGCTTCCAAATCGGTAACCAGCCAGATTCTGTTCTATCCAGCTTGTATTCTATTCCTTACTTGAATCTCCACCTGGATATCCTACAGTGCCTCAAACTTCCCTTGCCGAAAGCGGAATGCCCCACATCAGTTCCTCAGCTTTCACTGTCTCTGTCATGGTCCACATGTCCTCAAGTGAGGAACCTGGGAGTCATTATCGGCATTCCCTTTTCCCTCTCACACCCAATCCATTGTGATGTCTTTTTGATTCAGCCTCTTGAGTATTTCTCGAATCAGTCTACCTTTTTGCCTATATCTCTGCTAATACCCAACATCATCTGACGGGAAGAACTGAAGTAGCTTCCTAACTGGTCTCCCTGCCTCCACTCTGGTTCCTCCTCAATCCCCATAGCTATCAGAAGAGCTTTTTAATTTATTTTTATTTTTTTGTAAATTACACCATCCTTTCTCCCCACCCCCAATTAGGATAAAATGCCAATTCTTTTTTTTTAAAGATTTTATTTATTTATTTGACAGAGAGAGACACAGCGAGAGAGGGAACACAAGCAGGGGGAGTGGGAGAGGGAGAAGCAGGCCTCCCGCCGAGCAGGGAGCCAGATGCGGGACTCGATCCCAGGACCCTGGGATCATGACCTGAGCTGAAGGCAGTCGCTTAACCAGCTGAGCCACCCAGGCGCCCAAAATGCCAATTCTTAACATCAAGGTTCTTGGTGATCTCATTTCATCCTACCTTCCCAGACTCATCTTTTGCCTTTTATTCACTTTGCACTGACCACATGGTCTTTTCAGTTTCTCAGTGAGCCTTCTGCCTAAGAACTTTCATTCCTGCTGTTCCTTCAGCCCAGAATGATTTCCATCCCTCACTGTTTTTTGGTTTTTTTTAAAGATTTTATTTATTTGACAGAGAGAGACACAGCGAGAGAGGGAACACAAGCAGGGGGGTGGGAGAGGGAGAAGCAGGGTCCCTGCAGAGCAGGGAGCCCAATGTGGGGCTTGATCCCAGGACTCTGGGATCATGACCTGAGCCGAAGGCAGACACTTAACGACTGAGCCACCCAGGTGCCCTTCCATCCCTCACTCTTTGATGCCCCCACCCTCATCCCTACCATTTTCCTTCCATTCTTCAGAGCTCAGCTTAAAAGTTGCCTGTTTGGAAAGACCCTCTCTGATCACCCAAACAAAAAAGTGTTCTTTCTTATAGGATCCTTTCTTCTTTATAGCATTCTCCTCCCCCACAATTTGTAAGTATATATTTGTCTATTTACTTTAAATATATATGTCAGGGCACCTGGGTGGCACAGTCAGTTAAGTGTCTGACACTTGGTTTCAGCTCAGGTTGTGATCTCATGGTCGTGGGATCGAGCCCCACATCTGGCTCCTCATTCAGAATGGAGTCTGCTTGGGATTCTCTCTCTCCCTCTCCCTCTGCCCCTCCTGCTGGTGCACACGCTTTCTCTAAGATAACTAAATCTTTAAAAAAATAAATAAACAATAAAATAAAATATATGTCACCACTCCCCACCACAAGGACAGTGACCAGATCTGTTTTATCACTCTATCCCCAGCGCCTCTGCAAAGTAGGCACTTAATAAATATTTGTTGAATTACTGAATTAATTCAATAAATATAGATCAATCCTTATGTCAGGCTCTGTGCTAAGTGTTAGGAATAAAAAAAAAAAAAGATATAATGCCTGCCTTTAAGAACTCTGCATGCAGTGGAGGAAGCAGAGAAGAAAATTATAGTATAGCATATCCAGGCTAGAATGGAGGAAATACAGGGCATGGAGGGACCTAAAGGTGGAATACCTAACCCAGACTTCAGGAAATCAGGGAGGGCCTTCTGGAGAAAGTGACATTTATGTGGAGACCTGAAAGATAAGTGGGAACCAGCCAGGCAAAGGGGGACTTGGAAGAGGATCTCAGGCAAAGAGAACAGAATGTGTGACTGCCCAGAAGTAAAAGAGAACAAGGAGTTTTCCAGGAACTGAAGAGAAACCAATGTGACTGATCATAGAATCATGGGACATGAGGTAGTAGAGGGAGGTATGGGCCAGACAAAGCTAAGCCTTGTTGGCCACGCTAAGGAGTTTCGACCTTGTCCTCTGGACAGTGGAGAACCATTGAAGGATTTTAATGGGGAGTAGGTGACAAGATGGAACCTGTGTTTTAGGAGCGTCAGTCTAGCTGTGAGGGTGATGGATGAGAGGCACAAGGGAGGAGACAAAGATACCAATTAGGAGGCTGCTGCTGTATCACAGGAGAGACTTGGTGGCAACCTGAACCGAGGGCAGTAGCTGTGTGCTTGGAGAAAAGGGGAGAAGATATTTGGGAGGCAGGCTCCACCAGACCTGATACTGACTGGATGTGGATACTGATTGAGTATGATCGCAGACAGGTGTGCTGAGAGGTGGATTGGAGCATAGGTAGAAGAGCCGCAGGTAGTCAGGAGAGACCCTCCATGAAGAGGGTTGCCTGGAGGAGGATTTGGGGAAGGCAGAGGAAGTGAAGGATGGGTGTTTCACTGAAAGTGGGCATCCCTGTACTGTGCACGCAACATGCACTATCTCACATTCTTAAAACATCCATTCAAGGTACGGATTATTCCCATAATTGCAAATTAGGAAACCGAGACTCAGAGAGGTCATATGAATTATCTGAGGTCACATACCTGGTAAGAGGCTGAGCTGGGCTTGAAACCCAGTCTAACCCTAAGTCTGTGGTTAACCAGAGCACCATGCTCAGAGGTCTCTCAGCCCACCTAACTTCACCCTGTTCCCGCCCCGGTCACTGCCCGTCCTGCCTCTGGCAGGGAAGAAATGGGGTTAGTTCTCTGCAGGGAATTTGATTGGTGGGGCTCAGGTAGGGAGAGGGAGTGTGGGCTTCCCTGGGGCTGACCATCTCTCTGTACACAGGCTGGTGTGAGTGGCGGGAACCATCTGTGGGCACTATGGCGAAGAGGGAGGACAGCCCTGGCCCAGAGGTCCAGCCGATGGACAAGCAGTTCCTGGTGTGCAGCATCTGCCTGGATCGGTACCGGTGCCCCAAGGTTCTGCCTTGCCTGCATACCTTTTGTGAGAGGTGAGGGTGTGTGTGTACCAGGGAGGGATGAGGAGCTTGCAGGCCCCCCGGAGACGGGGGTGGCATGTGTAAACCTGTAGGAGGGGAGGGAAATGTAGACACACAGAGGGCAGCAGATGTACCCCAACCTGCAGGCGATGAGGTTTCGGTGCAAGAATGTGTGAGAGGACCGGAGGCTGCTAACACTGGGTCATGGTCCCTGCCCCTTCCCAAACCTCAAGGCAGCTTTCAACGCTGCCAGAGACATCAGACAGAACTGGGACTCTCCACGAGTGGTGGCACCAGAAGAGTTTGTCACCAGTGGGAGGATGGTTGAAGGTCTGTCCTTCCCTGCTTGTCTTCATGGTTGTCCTGAGGCACTGAGTGAAAGGCAACCACTTCCAGCCTTTAGGCTTTTATCCATTATTTATTCATTCAGCAAATACTCATTTATTGAGCATCTACTATGTGCCAGACTATCCCAGGCATGGGGTATGATAAGCAGACAGATCTAATACTTGCTCTTAAAGAGCTTTCAGTGTAGTTAAAGGAGAAAGATAGTAATCAAATGATCATATAGCCAGACTACAGAAAAATATTACCCCCTTCATAAGGCTGCAAATAAAGTGCTAAGTGACAAGAGTTTAGCTAGGATCTGTTAACAGTTTGGAGAGGGAATGGCTTCCCAGAGGGGCGACCCGGAGGATGCACTAAGTGAAGTTAGTGAGTTAACTAGCGAAGGGAGTGGTAGGAGCATTCTAGGCAGAAGGAAGAACATGGGGAAAGGCATGTGGCCTGAGGGAATGTGTCAGGTAAGGGGGCCTGGAGGAAGCCTGGTGAGGCGGGAGCAGAGGTGGGGGTGAAGCTAGAGAGACAGGTGGGGCCCACACCACAGGGGGCTTTGTAGACCTGTTAGAGACTGTTGCCTTTACCTGGAGGGCCCCAGGAAGCCTTTGGTCCCTGGGTCCTCTCACCATTGTGTCCACCCAAGCCTTCCCGCTGCCTCCTGCCTTCACAGAAAGCTGCGTCTGCCATGGGGACACGCTTCCTTTCCAATCCCATCGCTCTTTAAGAGGTCAGCTCTGCTGCTCTCACCCTGTCATCAACTGGAAACAGTCTCAGCCTTCTGGCCTATTGCAAGCTCTTTCATCAACCTGGGTGACTTCACTACTCACTTAGGCCTCTGGTTCTCGACTGTTTCTCCGGAAACGTCCTCCATACCACCTCCAGATGCCTGGATCTTGCCATCACCCATCACCCAATATCACTTCTGTGGTCATAAACTTGGGTATCCCATTCCTGGCTCCCATCACTCCATTCCCACTCTACCAGCTTTGACTAGGTATAGATGTCCAGCCTCCAGCTCCATCCTTTCCTACCCATGCCAGCCCCAATGGCTGAGCATCTGACTGGGTGCCACAATTAATTCCCTCAGGGCTTGGTTCTTTTCTGAACCCGTGCAGCAGATGCTCAACCCTGGATCACAACTGTAAATGGACATCTCTGCACCTCCTCGTCTGCCCAGATCACTGAGCAGTCCTGGAGAAAATCAGTGCCCGCGAAATTATGATACTAGTAGCTACAATGTATCGATTGCTTACTATTTGCCAGGGACTGGCTACGTGATATACGTGTGTTGAATTACTTAATCCGCACAATAGATACTGTATTACCCCCATTTTAGAGGGGAGTGAACTAGGGCTCAGAGTCACTGAGTAATTAAGAACTGTTTCTGAGGCTCCACAGTAAGCTGAGGTCTGAGGTCTGAATCCAGGTTTGACTGCAGGGCCTTCACTGTTCACTGCTACTCATTCATTTATCCCTTGGTCCTTGCTCTCCAAGAGCTTATGCTCTAGTAGGGGGTGACTGACAGTAAGCAAGCAAATAATCAAACAGTCGCAGCTTGTGCTAAAGTGCTTTGCAGGAAATAAACAAGGATTGAGTGGGGGTGGTTGAGTCAGGGGCTATTCTGCATAGAGTCATCAGGGAAGGCTTCCCTGAGGAGGTGACATTTGACCTGAGGCCTGAGGATGAGGAGGCAGACTTGCAAATTGTTCCAGGCAATGAGAAGAACCCATGCCAAGGCCTTCAGAAAGCGGTAGACTGGGCATGTTCAGAGATCAAAAAAGGTGAGTGTGGCTGAATGAGGAGAATGAAGTGAGGTCCAAAAGCACTAGGACAGTTCATGGAGGAACTTGGTGGTTTTAGGAAAGTATTTAGATTTTATTCTAAATGCAATGGGAAACCATTGGAGGAGGTTTTTTGTTTTTGTTTTTGTTTTAGGCTGGGAATTAACGTGACATAAATTAGGTTTTAAAGCTCCCTCTGCCTGCTGTGTGGAGAATGGATTACAGAGGAGCAAGAATGGAAAGAGGTAACCAGTTAGGAAGGTAGTGTAAGCCAGGTATGCTCAACACATAGGAATGAGGTCTTGATGAGTTCACAGAAATTTTGCAGGGGAAACCCCAGATTCAGTGAGCTGGGCAGAGAGCTGCAGGGGACAGATTTTAATGGCTGAAATTCAGATTTCAGAGTTGATGCAGTGACTGGCGATGAGAAATGGGAAGTAGGGGGAGCATGAGAGGGAACAGCGGAGGTGAAATGGAGGAAGAGATCACTGGGTGTGAGGAGGTCAAGGAATGGAGATCCTGATGCTGGATGGGTCACCTCGTGGATGTCAGAGCCCCTGAGAGTGATGGCAGGAGTGTGTGTATATGGGGGGAGGGGGGCAGCAGGAACAGGAGAGAGTGAGCTGGAAGAAAGACTTAGCCATTGGGGAAGCAGCCATGATAGCAAATGGAGATAATCACAGGAGGGTGGTATAGACAGAAGGCATGAGCTTCCAAGGAGCTGGAGAATAGAAATGTTCCAGCTGCAGGGCGGGTGGGGAGGACTCAACCCCACCTTCTGGCCCTAAGGAATGTGGAGTATGAGACAAAACCACTCTCTACTTGAGACAACTGCTGGGAAAACTAGGTCACAAGTTAATATTTGTGAAGCACTTAGAATTGTGCCTGGCACATAGTGTTTATTAAATAAATAAAAATTAATTAATGCAGATCCAGAGGTATAGAGAACATTAAGAGAAGAGACTGGGGACATGGGAAAGTGTGCACCATGCAGATCTTCCCTCCACAGATTCATGGTCTCCAAACACAGCCCGGGGTTGTGTTTCTAGAAAGCTTCCTCTCCTCCTCCCTTCAGTGACTAATCCCAGCCCTCACCAGTCTCCTGAACCCCTCCTTCACTCTCAGCAGCTGATCTTGCCTGAGACAAGTGAGGCATCCTCTCTAACTTCACCCCTGCACTCTCTCTTTCCCCTTTCCCCCACTCAGAGAATGGGGTCCACTCCTCCTGCTCAGGCCACGCAGAGCCATTACCCCCTCCCAGAGACCTGTCCATGCTTCGTCTTGTCTCTTCTACATCTCCTTCTCTCCTGGCTCTGCAACTCATAAATATGCTCAAGGCTCCCATTACAAACAGATAAGAACTCTTCTTTGTCCCTTTGTCCCCCAGCTAGCTGCCATGCCGTCCCTCAAGCACCTTCTTTCTCAAACTCCCACCCTCCCCACATTTCCTTTCCCTGGCACTCCCCCCTCCCCTCATTTTCCTTATAGATGAAAGCACTCTCACACTGGCCAAATTCAGGGGGCCTTTTTCAGGCCTTACCTCTCCTGACTCCTCAGCCACTTTTGACACTGATCACTGCTCCTTCCCTCCTTCTGGAAGTGCACTACCCACTTCACTGCCTTGTCAGTGTCTCTCCTCCTACCCCTCTGCTGGTTCCTCTTTGTTCTCATTCAGTATTTGCTGTTCTGCTCTTGTCACTGAATACACCTTTTGGGCTCATCTCATCCTCTCCCGTGGCTATAGAGGCTACCTCGATGTCGATGGCATCCCATCTCTCTCTGCCTTTTCCCCAGCTGTCTCCTGTGCCCCACTACCTGGATGTCCGACTGTTCCAGTAAACTCAGCCAGATCAAAGCTGAACGCCTTTATAAACCACTCCTCTTTCTGTGTTTCTCATCCTAGTGACTGTCACCACCATCCACTCAGTCATCTAAGCTAGGAATCTGGGAGTCAACCAAGACTCATCTCTCATTCCCCATATCCACTCAGACCTAACACCTCCCACTGCTGTACTTCTTAAATACTTCTCAAATTTGTTCCAGCTCATAGTCTACACTGCTACTGCCTAATTCCGGGTTTTTCTCATCTACTGCAAGATCTCTTACAAGACTATTGCAAGAGTATCTTGGCTAAGCACATGTTTTGCCTTGGATTTGAATCCAGGCTCCAGTGCTCGCTGGCTTTGTTACCTTGGATGACTTTCCCTTTTTGAGTCCATTAACATAAACATAAAGTGCAAAGCACAGCGCCTGGTGCATAGTACTTAATAAACAGTGACTGGATGACGATGATGATGATGCTGTCTGCCGCCTCATCACGTTCAAATTCATCCTTCACACAGAGGCAATGAAGAGGATAAAATGTAAACCTGGCTGTACCATGCTCCTGGTGTTCCCTCTTGCTATTGGGATAATTTCTTTTTCTTTTCTTTTCTTTTTTTAAAAGATTTTATTTATTAGAGAGAGCACGTGCATGAGTGGGGGAAGGGGCAGAGGCAGAGGGAGAGGGCCCAAAGAGGAGCCCAAAGCAGGGCTCGATCCCAGTATCCCAGACGCTGGGATCATGACCTGAGCTGAAGGCAGATGCTTAACTGACTGAACCACCCAGGTGCTCCTGGGATAATTTCTAAACTTCTAGTGTGGCCCATGTGACCTTCCATGACTGGCCCCTGTCTCTCTCTCCAGACTTCTTTTACCCTTTCTTTCCTTGGACTTGATCTCCAGCCACCTCAGACTGCTTCCTACTTACACGATGCTGTGTCTGGAACACCCTTCCTCTTCTCCCTGCACTTTTCTTTGGTTAGGCTAACAATGATTTATCCAGGAAGATTTAGCTTACATCCTCTGAAGCCTTTTCTGGCTTTTCTCTCCACCACCCGCGCACCCCTCCCCGGGGGACCAGATGCCCTTTCTACACATTTCCTTATCATTGCATGAAAAGTATTCCTTGTTTTTAATAAATAATACTAATACCCTACAATATATAGTGCTGTGAGTTGGCATGTGAGCACTTCACATTTAACCCTCCCTCCAACACCCTGCGAAGTCTGTGCTGTCTCCATTTTACAAGGGAAGGATCCTTGGCTCATAAAAGTTATGTAACTTATCAGGGGTCACATCGATGACTGATCTCGGAATTGAACCCAGCAGCCTAACTCCAGACCCATGCCCTTATCATTATATTATTTTACTTCTATAAACTCTTTCTGTGACTTTTTTTCTCTGTTGACTTGGAAATACTTTAGAGATGGGCATTGTGGTTTATCTGTTTATTGCCAGAGCTTGGCACAGATTTGGCAAGAATAGGCAGCCGGTAAATAATGAGTTAATGGAGGGAGGGGCTAGTTGCACAATTTTCTGTGAGAACGGTTTGTAAACACCGGTTTGAAAGGTGAGCCTGTGTTTGTACACAGTGTGAGGAATGCAGATCTGTCTGCTCTTCTGAGAGGGATCAGGGATGTGTTTTACTCAGTTGTGAAAGGTGAGGCCTTTTACACCTGTTGGCAGGACAAGACGTGTGTGCCAACCAGCGAGATTTCAGAATGAAGTGTACATCTGTGAGAAGAACTGGCATCCCTGCAAGTCGTGAGGAGGGGTGCACTGATTTTGCCCACCCCTCCTTCCTTTGACTCCCCCTCCTCCCTGGCCAGATGCCTCCAGAACTACATCCCTGCCCAGAGCCTGACGCTGTCATGTCCGGTGTGTCGGCAGACGTCCATCCTCCCGGAGCAGGGCGTCTCAGCGCTGCAGAACAACTTCTTCATCAGCAGCCTCATGGAGGCGATGCAGCAGGCACCGGATGGGGCACACGACCCCGAGGACCCCCACCCCCTCAGCGCAGTGGCTGGCCGCCCCCTCTCCTGCCCCAACCATGAAGGCAAGGTGGGCCCAAGCAGGCCCAGTGAGGCCAGGACTTGGGGTGGAGGGCGAGGAGCGGTTGGGGGAGGGGCCAAGTGGCTGCGGGTAAGAGGGGGTTTCTCTGGATAAGTGGGCCAGGTAGGGGCACACCTGGAAGGTGAGGGGCCAGGAGGGCAGAGCGGGAGGGGAGGAGACGAAGAAGTTAGGTGTCTAGTCATTGCTTGACTGGAGCGCTTATGCCGCCAGACGATGGAGTTTTACTGTGAGGCCTGCGAGACGGCCATGTGCGGCGAGTGCCGCGCGGGGGAGCACCGGGAGCACGGCACCGTGCTGCTGAGGGACGTGGTGGAGCAGCACAAGGCGGCCCTGCAGCGCCAGCTGGAGGCGGTGCGCGGCCGGTAGGAGCCCAGTGGGAACCTGGGCTGGTGGGGCCGTCAGGGAGAGTGACGGACAGGGGAGGGACCCTGGGGAGGCTAGAAATAAAATTCTTCGGGAGGGCAGGGAGGTCTCAGGTAGGGGACCTCCTAGGGGCACAGTAGATTCCCCCCTGAGAAGGAGTGGTTTGGTGAAGGCATCCTCAGGCAACCCCAGTATGCGATGTCCCCCCCTTCGCCCCCCCAGCCTGCCACAGCTGTCCGCAGCTATCGCCTTAGTGGGCGGCATCAGCCAGCAGCTGCAGGAGCGCAAAGCCGAGGCCCTGGCCCAGATCAGCGCGGCCTTCGAGGACCTGGAGCAAGCGCTGCAGCAGCGCAAGCAGGCTCTGGTCAGCGACCTGGAGGCCATTTGTGGGGCCAAGCAGAAGGTGCGTCTGTTTACCCTTGCCTACCACCGTCCATTGTGGGATGGCCTTATCGCCACCATGCTTTTCCTGCTTTCCCATCCCTGGGCACCCCCTTCCCCAGACTATACTTTCTGCCTCCCGACCTGGCCCCATAGGTACCGCGGTATCTGTGTCCCTTGTCCATACTCACCCTCTCGCATTTCTGTCATGCTATAGTACCGTAAGGTCCTAAGCAATCACAGAGACCCTTTCTGTGCCAGTGTGCGCCCCCAAACCTCCCCCACCTCCTCCTCAGGTGTTGCAGACCCAGTTAGACACATTGCGCCAGGGTCAGGAACACATCGGCAGCAGCTGCAGCTTCGCGGAGCAGGCGCTGCGCCTGGGCTCTGCCCCGGAGGTGTTGCTAGTGCGCAAGCACATGCGAGAGCGGCTGGCTGCGTTGGCGGCTCAGGCCTTCCCGGAGCGGCCACACGAGAACGCGCAGCTGGAACTGGTCCTCGAGGTCGACGGGCTGCGGCGATCGGTGCTCAATCTCGGCGCGCTGCTCACCACGAGCGCCACCGCACACGAGACCGTGGCCACAGGTGAGGGCCTGCGCCAAGCGCTTGTGGGCCAGCCAGCCTCGCTCACCGTCACTACCAAAGACAAGGATGGGAGGCTGGTGCGCACGGGCAGCGCCGAGCTGCGCGCCGAGATCACCGGCCCCGATGGCACGCGCCTTCCCGTGCCAGTGGTGGACCACAAGAACGGCACGTACGAGCTAGTGTACACGGCGCGCACGGAAGGCGAGCTGCTCCTCTCAGTGCTGCTCTACGGACAGCCGGTGCGCGGCAGCCCCTTCCGCGTGCGAGCCCTGCGTCCTGGGGACCTGCCACCTTCCCCGGACGACGTCAAGCGCCGCGTCAAGTCCCCCGGCGGCCCGGGCAGCCACGTGCGCCAGAAGGCAGTGCGTAGGCCCAGCTCCATGTACAGCACGGGCGGCAAACGGAAGGACAACCCCATTGAGGACGAGCTTGTCTTCCGTGTCGGTACAGATGGCTGCGGGCGGAGCCAGAGGGGGGCGGGCTCAGGCCGTGGGCAGGGCGGATCGGGAGGGCGACTCTAAAGGACCTCAGCGAATTGTTTTGTTTTCCTTCCCTGCCTTCCCCACAGGCAGCCGAGGAAGGGAGAAGGGCGAATTCACCAATTTACAGGGAGTGTCGGCAGCTAGCAGCGGCCGCATAGTGGTCGCAGACAGTAACAACCAATGTATCCAGGTAAGCGCCTTTCCTGTTCTCCCGTGACGCCAGTAAAGGTCCTCAAACTACAGCCTCCTGAAAGAACAAGAGTGTACAGATCATCTCTTGAAAGATGAACCAGTCCTTGAAGATAGTACCGGTCCTTAAAGAGCAATGAATCATAGCACCATCCCTCATCCACCTACTTGCCATCCACTCCCACTGGCCACGACACTATCCTGCACCTTCACAGTTAGGCACCGGGGTTTTACTGTGCTTGCAGCCTCTACTTCCCAGGCTGGGCCTCAGGCCACACGAGCTCCTGGACCCCAAAGATCTGGTTCATTCTTCATACCTTTCTCTCTCTGAGCCTCCACCTGACTGGCTTCCTTTCTCCCCTGTCCCCACGTGGTTAGGATGCAGGCTCCCCTGCTTTCTTTCATCATACCAGCCTGGCTCCAGAGTATCTGGCTCTCAGTTTCTTGTTGGTGCTGGTCTCTGCAAACATCTGTCTGGCTAGACAGTCAAATGGGGGTAACTTGGGAAAAGAGGTGTCTTCCAGAGGCTAAACTATAGTGCAACCTCACAGGTGGTCCTGCCCTGGTGCTCCCCGTCCCTCACACACCTGATTTTTTTTTAAAGATTTTATTTACTTACTTGACAGAGAGAGACAGTGAGAGAGGGAACACAAGCAGGGGGAGTGGGAGAGGGAGAAGCAGGCTTCCCGCCGAGCAGGGAGCCCGATGCGGGGCCAGTCCCAGGACCCCGGGATCATGACCCCAGCCGAAGGCAGACGCCCAAGGACTGAGTCACCCAGGCATCCCTCTCACACACCTGATGGAAGCGTCTGCCACAGAACACAAACGGACGTGGCCTCACTGCACTTTGAGCTCCTTAAATCCAGGAAGCATGCTTTTCTTTCTGTTTTTCTTGTAGCGAGCCCAGAGACTAGTGACAGGCACCAGCAGTTAAAAAGTATCGCAGTTAAAAGCTCAGGCTCTGAAACCAGACACCCGGGCTTGAATCCTAGCTCTGCCACTTACTGACAAGTCATGTGACTCTCTGAGCTTTAGTTAACTCATGTAAAATTAGGAAAAGAATACCTCATGGAGTTGCTGGGAGCATTAAAATGACATAATGCACTGTGCCTGACACCTGGTGAACCTTCTAATGTTAGGTATTGTTAAAAATATCATTGTCCAGGTGGAGACTGTAAACAAAAGCCAGGAAAGTGCTGGAGGGGGTTGTTCAGGGAACTGGAAGGATCCCAGCCAGCTGGAGGTAGATTACTATTAGGAGCCGAGTAGCCGAGGGCACATTGTAAACAGTTTTGGAGAGGATGCTGTGGAATTTTGATTTTATCCTGTGCAGGATTGTTTCTAACTACCATGCACTTCAGTTCTTGGAAACATTTTATCAGGTTGCAAAACTTTTCTTGAAGATCCTTACTTCACAACACCTATAAAGTTCTTTCTGACCCTACCTGAGTACCCCTGCCACAGGTCTGTCCCCTCAATGTCAGCTGCCCCCACCCCTTGCTTTCCATGTTAGCAGGCTGAAGGTGCCAGGAACTCTTCCATGGCCATATTCCTGGTCCTGTCCAGCCTGCTTTTACTCCTAGCCTATTCCAAAGGGCAGAGGAATGGAGAGGCGTAGGGCAGCACGTGGAAGCATTTGGGTCCAGCCTGGACAGTGAGGGAGGGATCAGGTGGGAGAGGGTGGCGCCGAGGCCCTCCTCAGTCCCACCCTCCACCTTCCAACTCTTTTTCTCCTTCTTATGCCAGGGATGCCTTCTGGCCCAAAAGCTGAGATTTGGGAACCTGTTCCTGGTGTGCACACACATGGGTGCTCACATGCACATAAAGATGTATGCTGCTTTGTCTCCCTGATGAGGGACTGGGGAATTGAGAGGGAGGGCCTGGGGCAGCCCCCTGTCCTCTCCAGATACCTGCTGCTCCTACAGCAGCCCTCCTTCTTGCTCCTACTCCACCTGCATCCTAATTTCATAACTGCTAGGAGCTGGGCTCTTGGATTCCAGAGCTGAGTTCCTGCTTCCCTTATTTTGGGGTCCTCCAGTTTGATATGGGCCAGGCTCCCAGATAGATGTTGCCTCCCCACCCCGTTCATGAGGTTTGCTGACCTTGTGAACTTCTCCTCCTTTGGACTGTCTATGATGATAGCTGAGGCAAATCCCTTTGTTGTGCCGAATCAGCATCAGCTGACAGAAGAGAAAAAACATTTTGTGATTTTGAATGAAGAATTTGATTTGTATATATTATATCCTTGTGTAATAGTCTTAGTCCAGAAGTTTTATCAGCTCTTCTGTGAAAACTTCCTCATTTCCTTCAGGCAGAATATTAATCACATTCTTCTCTGAGTTCCCTCAGCCTTTGCTATAACACTCTTCATTCTTTATCAGAGTCACTGGTTTATTGTGTTATTTTTTTTAGTCTCTCTGCTCCCCCCACCCCCAACTGGACTCAGATCCTGAAGTTACTTAGTGCTACCGTGGTAAAGGAGAGAGGTGTCAAGGACCAAACGAAGGCGCCAGCAGATTCTGGAGATGTTAAGAAAGCAAAGATGGCAGGTTTTGCTGAGCCTTCAGAGGTCAAGGGAGAAGGCGGGATCAAGAATGGCAGGACTTGGGGCACTGGGCCGCTGGTGCTGCTGTTCAGGAGCAGGCCTGGGTATCAGTTGATGATTTCCCTTCTGCACATGTTGAGCATGCGACGGCTGTGCGGCAGCTGAGTGGAGGTGACCAGTTCTGTGTGAGCTTGAGCGGAGGAATTCATGCATTTGTTGACTGCCTGCCGTGTGCCCATTGCCGTGCCAGCAGTGCCAATGCAGTGGCAAACCAGGCAGGCAGTCCCTGTGCCACCTGATGCTTACCTTCTTGGGAGATGAGGGTGTTCAGCAGTTAGTTACAGGAGTGACCGTTGTTAGCGGGAGAACTGTAAAGCATAGGTCATGGAGGCCTGCCTTTATGTGTGTGTATTGATTCAGGGGCTGGAGTTGGTCCTGAAGAACTTCTCTGAAAAAGTGACCTGGAATTTTCTGAGATTCACAAGATGAATGGAGTTGCCAGGTGTCGGAGGTGGGATAGGATAGGAAGGGAAGAGCGAGACACCCCCCGCCCCAAAGCCTCAGTGTTGAGCTGGAAACTGAGCTGCTCAGACTGGGGGGGG